TAAAAATAATCATAAGTTATAAAATTAAAACTTATTCATATCATATTTTATCTTGTTTACAACCATTAACAAAATAAACTTACATATTATTTGAAATATCAGTTATTTGTAGAATGTTATTCATATAGTGAGAAATAGTATAAGATATTCAATACTGTATTAAAATGCTAATTTTTATTACAGATCTTATATATATTAATTAAACTGACCAATCAGAAGCAATTAAAAAAATTTTTTAAATATATAAATATTTATTTTTATATAATAAATGCCAAATTTTCAATCATATATAAAATTTAAAGTGTTATAACTTTTTAAACTTATAATTAACAAAAAATCTGGTTTAATAGAATTATATAATAGCTTAGATAAGAATCAATAAATCTGTAAAAGAGATTTTTGTTAAAATTATTTGTTTTTGAGTTATAGCACTTTTTATATTATATATAAATATTGGATATCTTATGCTGTCCCTTACTATACTTAAATCCTTTACTAATTTGTATCAACTATTAGGATAATTATTTTCTAAGAGTAGCCAATTATATAATAGTTGTAAGTATAGGTTCGAAATATTATTTATTCTTTCAGAATGTTATTTCTTTGGAATGCCAGAATTTTGATCATTCAGGATGTTACTTATATACTGATAGGATTGTGTTTTGACTGTGTGATGATGGTGAGAGTGTTATAGTATAGTGATGATTAATAATAAATAAACACCTGTATATTATATAATCCCTGTTAAATTATTCGGATATATGAAGGGTTATAATCCAGGGGTTTTATACCTGCAATTCATCGTAATTGGCAACGGATTACAGGGATTTTTCGGGTGATTTTCCCTGTAAAAACCAGGTATTTACAGATGATCATTACATACAATTACGTGGTGATTTTGGGAATTTATAACGATATTTATCTCACAGGGTGTGTTTGGCCTTTGTTATTTCAATAAATTTTTTAATTTAGCATTTCCTTTTCCTTTTGATAATATTAATTATCTGTGAATTTAATTGGTACTTGATGAATAAAACAATATTTTCATTCATTAATACTTGTATTCAAGTTTATATTGGATATTTGGGAAAAAAATCTTTCAGTTCTAAAAAAATCAATTATTTAATTGTCCATCTTTAAGGGCTGAAACATCTTTTGAAGCATTTTTATTTTATTTCCCTAATAGATTGGTCCCTTTATATAATATCCTTCGATTTATTTTTCATTGTTCTAAAATTATACTCTTTGAAGTCCTTACTATTTTCGTAGCATTTTGTATTGCGATTTTTATTAATAAAATCGCTAGGTTATATATATTAAAGTAATTTAAATGAATACAGTTGATATCATTTGTTCTGTTGCGAACTTCTTCACTGAATTTGGTGCTTGCAATGAATTCATGTCATTTTTCAAAGTCCGGTAATTATAGTCTTCGTTATCGTATTTTTATTGTTATAGATATGTAATTGTTCTTTAAAATGGGGCACTCTTGTATATTTTGATCTTATAAACTTCTCCAGTTAAAAATAACGAACTTATTAAATATATTAATTACATTTTAACATTAATAATAATATAATGAATTCATTCGCATTTATCCATTTCCTTTTTTGTCTTCGCAAACGGCCGAAGGTCTTTGTTGAATAGTAATTATAAATCATAATACATTCAAATTTTACTATATTTAGATACTTCCATCAAATGTACATGTAAAATGGTGACATAAAAGACAAGTTGAAACAAATAGGTTACACAATTTGTCATTAGAAAGGATCTCAAGAGATTAGCTTTTGAGAATGGAAAGTGAACAATTACCAATAACTTGTAACGGTCCTTTGGGAAAAAAATCATAAATACATAACGTAGAACCACATTTCTTATACATACAAAATGCCTAAAATCCGTCGAAATAAAAACGTTAGCTCTAATTTATTCGATGCGAATGAAACTTTAGTTTTCCAAGCAATTAAAATCCTCCAAGAAATTAATATGCCCTCACCATATGATAACAGCCATATAATTTTAAAAAAATTTGGCCAAATTGATAACGATAAGCCAAGAAGATCACCAAACAGTTTTTTATTATATCGAGCAGTCGTCACCCACATATTGGCTAAGAGAAATATTTATCTTGCTGCGGAAAAAATCTCGAGAATAGCATCAGAAAAATGGAAGAATGAATCCAATTCAATTAAAGAAGAGTATATCAGATTTGCCGAAGAAATCAAAACCACTTTCTTGAAAGATGCAAACTCGCCTTCCAAAAGACGACTCAAATTTCGCTACGATAAACATTGTTCTTCCGCCTCTAATAAATATTGTGAGTTAACGGCGACTAGCTTGGAACATAAGTTTTCGCCCTCAAATTTCTCAGTTATTGATTCGACATCTTTTCAAGAAGTGAATGCGGATCTCACAATCTCTGAAACACCGTCAACATCAACTGAAATTCTGCCATTATCCCGTACTGAACTTGGAGAATATGATAATACTACCTACTATTATATTGATCCTGCACTGAGCTATGAAAATACTGTACCAACCTGGGAAACTTTTGTACCAGCCATGCCTATGTATATTCCGAATTTTACTAGCTTTCCATTAACGATGAACGAATTGGAAAGTTTGGAAAGTTTGGAAAGTTATTTGCAAAGTTTTCATGACTTCTCTATGAATGATCCTGAAAATTTTACTATTTCCTCAGAACAGTACAATTTAGAAAGTTCGGAAAATTTAGTTACCACTATTTCATGTAACATTTTATAACTAAAAGTATATTATACGTCAATCCTCTTCACATAACATATACCATTAAAGATTTCATCCTACATTTGAATAATAAGGAATATGTCCTATATACACTTGTATATACAACTCAAATTCATATAACTCAAATTCGATAATCTTAAGAACTAAAAATAAATCATAATTTATTATAACCAATTACAATACGTAAATTTATACATTATACTGTAAATGTTCACCCAAATGCAGGAGGATAAATCTTGCATAAAGTTCACACATAAACGGATAAGCTTTGTGTTACTTTTAGTAATCGGAGTTTTTATTCCCAGTTAATTTTACTATGTAAACTTTCGAGAACAATCCTTTCATTTAAAATGTAATTAATGAGATTTTTATGACTCATAAGGTTTTTAATATCAGTGACAGCATAGTTACTTGGCGGCATATGCCTCCCGAATTTTCTGCGTCGCATTTTTTTCAAGTTGATGAACGCGTTCGGCGGAAATATCTTATTTTTGCTAATTCATTCAGCATGTTTTGTTCATTTGAAATCAATCAATGTTGGTGTAAAATATCTTTGCTGCTTTCATCCAATGTTTGATAGCGCTATTCGAATTATAAAAAAACGACAATAAAATTTTTTTTTTATTTATCATTAATTATCTAGACATAATAATTAAGAAGTCATTCATGCTTATAATTTTTTAACACCAATTTTTAATACAGTATATACCGTATTCAACGGAACGCCTTGATTCAAGCGGATGTGATTGGTGAATTGTAAATTGGTAAATCACTGCGTGCAGACTAATAAGGAGAAAATTCTATTGCTGACATGCATACGCATAAACGTGCATTCAATACAGCTACATGTACATGTACAAGCTCGGCTTTCATGTACATGTAACAATGCGTATGCAAGATGCAAATTTTAAACTACATTATCGGTATATCAGAAAAAGATAAGTCAATATTATTGATGTAATTGTCCCCAGCATATTGATTCTTAGAAATGTGAATCTATATCCGAGATGATAGATTAAGTTTATTACTTATCGTTCTTGAAAAATGTGTTGTTGTAAAAATTGAATTTGGAATGGTCTGATCGACATCCAGACTATTTATAAACTCTGATGTGGTCTGGAACATTTTGGAATGTTGCATGTATTGTTAATCTCGGCAGGCTGAAACCTATTAAGAAAAGTAATCCCGTCAGAAACCCATGTTAAACATGTTAGCCACAATAATAATTTTTCGCACGGCCTCAGTGACGGAGATTGAGCGCAAGGCACACCATTCGATTCACCAGAACATAGGGTCTCGAATGGAGAACCTTACACTCAATTTCTGTCACTGAGTCTTGAAATATTGAGCCCAAAAGAGGCCGTGCATAAAATTATTGTTGCTAACATCTGACGGGTTTTACTTTTTTATAGTGAGATTTCCCCTGTCGTATTACGTGATAGATGGAATGGTCCAAATTCAGAACATAACGATAAATAAATTAGATGGTTCGAAAAATAAATATTTTCATAAAGCTGCCAATCTTGTTCAGATTGAGCCGATTGTTGTACTTGATTTTAAGAAACTTCCAAAAAAGTATACCGAAGTAAAAGTCGCTAAAAATTTAGGCGTAGACACACTTGAACGCCTCATATTCATGTAATTCCTTTTTCTTTGTGTTTCTACAGAGATTGAGTTTTATTGTGCTTTTCTCGGATATTCGGAAATTTGAATATACCTGTACTTTTAATAACGGTAAGAGAAGTTTACATCACTGTTGTAATATTAACTACTGTATATAAATATTATTTAAGGATTTAATAATCCGTTATCAATTCGTTGTGAAACTTCAACGTCATATGAAAATCGTTATTGTTCGCTATAAGTAGCTTTTCATTCTTTGTAACATTATTATAGGAAAGAAATAGTCGATGATAAATTTTACAGATTCAACAATAGATCACTTTATTGCCAATTAAAGACTTAATTTGTATGAATAATTTAACGTATTTTCATAAATATTTCTTAATTAAGAAGATTTTATATATGCATTAATTGTTTCGTTTCCTGACTATCAAACAAACTTAAAAGCTGGATATCGATATGCAAATCCATGTATACTGCGTATCAATTGCTAATATTTCTATGTATTACACGCAGTCAAGACAATAGATGTAAATGTAATATCTAATTAAGACTGGGTATTGTGCGTCGACTTATCCGTGTATTTTTTACAACAGACTTTTTTATAAATGATGATCAATTATATACATGTAATAAGAAAACCCCGCAACCCCAACTGCCAAAATAGGTTTCTCATTTAAGTCGTATGCGTTAATAAATTCTCAAAAACACGATAATTAAATGTAAAGGTTTTAAAACATTAGTTTAAACCAAAATTTGTAAAGAAAGTTACGAAGTCAAATTCACATTAATTTGAAAATTTATCAAATTGGTATAAAGATTTCTCCGGCCGAGCCAAGTTAATAATTGCACACAAAAAGAGAATACAAAGAAAGTTAATTTACGTCAATGATTTAAAAATCTCGTAACTTGGTAAGTATTGCAAGTAAGAATCGATTAATTTAAAAATTTCGGATAAAAAAATATGTGACCGTGCAACTAGAAAATTGTGACGTAGTTTATCAATTGATTATAAAGATAACGATAAGGTATCAATGAAACAAACAAGTGTACACAGTGACATCATCTCATCATGCATATTTAAACGGCAAAGAATATTGCCTGACAAATGAACCAAAACGTGGCAAATGCGCGTTCCTTTGTCGAATATCAGATTACATCATATTTTTTTTTGGAAAATCATGTAAGATGCTTCCGAATAGGAAAGGAAAATTAATAAAAGAATAAAGTACATATATATCATAAATTTATTAAGCTCAAAGCATATAAATACTTGCTATAAAAGCTACGGAGAACAAACCAGCTTTTCAAAAAAAAAGCATAAGCAAAATTACCATTTATAAAACATGCCAAAAGATTTCAAAAACACAAATTTTAACTCTTTCATGCCATGTTTCATTCGAAATGAAAGTTTCAGTTCAATAGATCTTGATAAGATTGACGTGCCATATCCACTCGATGAAAATCTTGTCAGCCTGTTAAAAAACAATTTGAATGAAACTGCAAAGAGAACGCCAAATAGTTTTATATTGTATCGAAAAGCATTCAAAGAGATTCTAATATATCATGGATTTCGTCTTAGTGCAAGTGAAATATCTCGACAGGCATCGAAAAACTGGAAAGCCCTTGCTGATCCGGTTAGGCAAGAATATGAAAAGATTGCTAGAGAACTCCGCGAAAGCACCGAAAAATGTGCCTCTGTAATTTCTTTTAAGAATAAATGGCGTATTATCAAGCCTTCCGATGTACAACGAAAAATCAACAAAAAGAAAAATTCGTCCCTGGACAATCTTTCAGAACCTAATACAGTAAATTCATTTCAAGAACCAACTATGACGACAATTAATACTCAAGAACATTCTATATTTCCATATCCAGATTTAAGTTATATCGATTCACTTTTTACATATAATTTTCCGGAAACTATGTTTTTAACTCAAAATCTAATGAACACATATCCAGAACTCTCTATGATCCATTTTTGGGATAATACAAGTATTACAGATTTTCAAAACATTTAAACTATTCAAGATTTAGAAAAGCATTATGTATAATTTTGTAAACAATTCTATATTACATTTCTAATTATAGAAAGTGAATGAAATGATAATCAACCCATAAATGTATATCGATATGATTAACATGTGCAGTATATATACGGTAATGATAATAAAATTTCATCCTTTACATGTGTATCGTATTACAATGCATAACTTTATGCATGTTCGCCAAGCTGTGTATGAACAATAACGAGAACAATAATAATTTAATAGAGTTCAAAATTTTATATTGGTTTTCGATTGTAATTTGCTTACCGCGCGTTTTTATTATTATCCAGCTTATTGTGGTGTACATAGAATTCGGTTAATTTTTTTGTGTTTATTCTCAGAAAGCCGAAGTATTAAAAAAACCATTCTATTTACGTAACAAAGAAAAGACAAATTTATTGGTAAGTTACGGCAAGGTAAGCTCGTAGATTTCTTTTTTATTCTAAATAGATGTTCTTCTATTATGCATTACTGATTACCGTATAAAGCTTTAAAAAGACACGGGATATTTTACATTATCCTTATACATGTAATACTTCATATAGGGGTATTAAAATCGCGGGATATAATACACACTTATAGATTATTAGCCGCAAAGAAAATAAGGTTTGAATCCCAGACAGTATGCTCTTATAAATACATGTACTTCCTTTTTTTTGATAATCAATGTAGCAGAACTGGTCGAACAGGGTAGACTCTACCTTAGATAAAACTAGGACTTAAAATACGAAAAAATTGCAAATTACAATTTAATAAAAAATTCAAGCGTTACATTATTTTGATTGCCACTGTACTTTTTGTTTTTCTTCAAACCATACTTTGCCTGTCTCTCAGAGTTTTGAGAGCAGTCATTATATACAATTTTGATAATACATGATTCTCAAATTTAAAGATCGTAATGCTGCACAGATTTCGCGAGTTTAAAGTACAAAGTGTGAATTTTGTAAAGAAATTTTTACAAAAAGAGTATAATAAAGTAAACTTATTATATACAATACAAATTTAAGAAAAATTTAATCATTTCTATGGATCAAAGAATAACTTATGAAATTTCTAATAAGCATCAGATCTTTGGATGCAAAAGTAAGAATTTTGTAAGTAATTCTCATTATTGGGGAAGGCAGTTAGTATAAGGATTTTGCGAATGTTGATACTACAAGACAAGCATTTTGTATGAATTTCGTGTGATTTCGCTCAGGAGGTACCGGACAATTATTTTTAAGTTTTCGTGACACAGTAGGGTACAAGATTATTTTCTCCAGAATTTTTGTAATCACAGAATTTCTCGTCGCGAAGATAACATTATTTCATTGAATTCTAGCTCTTCTATCTCAGCGATATATTTTTCAAATTAATATCGTCGAATTCTTCAAAACATCAAAATTTAAAGTTTCATTCATTTTTAAAAAAATATTTATAAATATTAAATTCAAGTTACAGTGTGTAACAAAAAAAACCAGATATTTTATTTTTGGTTATATTCAATGAATATTTATTTAATTTATATAAAATTTTAAATATATATGCTTGATAACCTAGTGAAAAGTTTACTTAAAAGCATTTAACAGCTTAGCTTAATAAAATTTTTCATAATTAATATTTTTTTATTAAATTTTTTTTGAAAAAATTGATTATA